TATACTATATTTATACACACAAATACACGCACATACACAATTGCAAATGACAATGAAGAAATATTTATTTGAAATAAATATCAAGTATAATTATCAAGGTATATGAAGTATAATTATCCAAAGTATAATTACAATACAGAAATTTACTTATTTATGTTTGTCATGCTTATTATAGAAAAACATTATGTATTATTTATTACCAAAATTATTCATATTCTACAAAAATCGATAAATTGCGATAAATTCTAATAAATTAATAACATATAATTGATTTTTATAAATTGTGAGGAAGAGGCTAAATCAAGCATTATTTTTGGAAAATGAATTCTGTTAATTCGTAACTTATTCTAAATTTTCTTTTTTGCAGCTGAAAACTTTATTTCACAATTTATGCTAATCGACAAACAAATTTGCAGTGAAAACAGCTTTTGTGTGACTGATCATAAATTTTTGGGCTATCTCGGTTTTTGATCGAGAGAAAATTTGAATACATATATTACGATTAGAGTCCTAGATCTAAACCGTGGTATTCATAATGAGTTCTTATTTTAGAAACAATAATGGTGTCTTAATGGTGTTTTAATTAAGATGCTAATGTAGTTTTGTGATTGATTTGTAACATATTAAGACTGTATTTTAGACATTTAAGACGGTTTTGAACCATCTTAGAATTGACTACGCATTTAGAGCTAATTATAATATTGACCATCTTTGATAAACTTAATCTGATTATTCCATTGAAACTAATCAATAGTAACATTTACTGTAATAGAAATGAAATGAAAGTAAATAGAATGATTTATTAATTAACACTTAATTGATTAATCTAACTGATCGAAGATGATAAATTAGTACCGATTGTGAGTGTACAACAAATGCAGATGGAAACTGAATTTTCGTATATGCACATATATATCTTTCTAGTCCAGTAAATAAAGAATGCATTATATATAATCAGGTAAGAGGAAAAAAGAAAATTAAAACTGTCACTGCTGTTCCAACAAGTCTGAATATATTTATTATCTTTTTTTGTCATCTTCAATATATGTATCTATTATTCAGTTTACAAATATAAAGAATGCTCACTATTTGCTTTTTCTTTTCTTAGTTAAAATAATATTTGAATTATTTTAACTAAGGAAATAACTGAAAAAGAAATATTTACACATACATGTATATATTTAAAAAAAAATACGATTTCTCGAATCAGAAAGAAACTTTGTAAATTAACTGTACATTCGATATGTATTTCTACACACACAAATATTAATTTAAGCAATTCCTCTTTATGAATTGTTTAAGAAGAGAAATTTTATAAAATTAGCTTTTTATTTCCTACGTTGCTTCCCTGACGGAAAAATTATTACGCGCGAAAAATTACATAGATTAAGTTAATACAGATTGTATGTATATATATAATAAATAAGATAAATAAAAATTTTTGGTATTTCATAGATGTTCGTAGTGTTACGTCGCGTTGTTTGAAAAATCAAGAAATTCTCCGCCTTCAAAAGCCATTTTATTACATCCTATTACAAATATTTATGAAAAATTAAGAATTTCTAAGATAAACAAACCTTACTCTACGTTTCACTCTAAATATCTACGAAAAAGTAAAAGTTTCTAAAGTCTTATCTTAATTAAATCTATATAGTTATTTTGTACATTTTTATGAAAATCTTTTTTCCCGCCAGAGTTTCATATTTCTGGAAATATAGAATGAACTTATCATGCATAATCTACTGTAAAAATTATATATATCTTTCGACAATTCTATTGTTATAACTTTGTTATAGTACTTATATAACAAAATTGTATTATAATTATAATTGTTTGTTTAATGATTATTATAATCCCAGCGAAAAAGGATTCATAGAATAGATGTCGAATATAGGCATCGATACGATGACTTCTACATCAATTCGACATCCATAATTGAGTTTCTCGATGAGATGTCATCATTATAACAATTTAGCTGTAGTCTATATAAAAATTAATATAATGATAAAATTTAATTTTCATAAAATTCATCAAATTCAAACTTCATGAATTTGATATAATTTGCGTTTTGTCACTTTTCTTTGTTTAACGCTTACCGCCCACTGGATACAAGCGTTACGCAAACTGCAAATAAATAAAAAATAAAATAGATAACCAATTTCATTACCTGTATTAAATGTTATTATAAATTATTAATGTTAAAATGTTTTAATAATTTTTAAATCTCAATTGTAATGCTTTTTATTTGAACGATATATCCATGTTATTTTATTACGACGATAAAAGGTAAGTCTTTCGATTTATCAGCAACTCTTTAACCAATTTAATGTTAATTTTTCTTTAGCAAAAATTAAATCGTTATTGAATTTGTAAAATATTAACACTGAATATCTTTCAAATTGTACCTAATAAATACTATAAAAGTGAATTTTAAGTTGCACGCGTTTTTTTGTCAGTTGAAATTTATTTTATTACGGTTATATTTTTTCATTTTTTTATACTTTTGTAACACTTAAATTTTTTATATCTGCGAGATAATAACTGACTTAGATTTTTTACTAAAAAGAATCTGTTAAATAATTATCATATTAAGATAATTAAGAGATATTCTATATCAATTGTATATTACAATTTATTTACCCATGTATGTTCAATGTAAATTCAAAGTAAAAGTAAAAATATAAAAAATTAAGTATTGTAATTAATTATTTGATTATACGTACGTGGTAGTCACGTTATGATAGAATCCCATCTGGTACTCAAATGTGTAAATGTATAGATATACGAGGATAGGAGAAACAATGATGTTAAAAAAAGCATAAAAAAATTTTCCAAATTTGAAATGGTTTACCATCGATATAAATAAAATTATGAGTAGGATGAGCATAGAAAGATTATATATTATCAAACAAAGTATTTTAAGAAGATTACCACAGATTGTTTGAACTATATTATACAACTTTCTGGTATTTCTGCATATCTATCAAAAAAATTAATGTCACATTAACGTAATATTAAGAAAATATTCCAACAAAATCATTAACAATTAGTTTGATAATTAAAATGAATTAAACGCTTAAATTCTAAGGCATTGTTGAAATTAACATTTATCATCCTCCCTCCTTCTATTTGTGTTCTTTTCTATATTCGCTATTACTAATTTTTGTCACACTTATTATTTAATACTCGTCTAGCAGCATTATTGTATTATATATAGATCTTAATTTTGGTGGTGCGTGTAAATGTATATATACGATATATGTATTTATTAGACATATATATTCAGTCTTTAAAAAGTTACAAATAAATATATTTTTGATTTATTTTTTTATATTCTTATATTATTTCACTAACATTGCATTTACTATTAAATTATTTTATACAAAAAAACTTTATTACCGTTCGATTCGGACCGTCATTTTTTTATATTTTGCATTGCAAGAAACGAGCTAATCTAATTATTTTATGCTGGTCTCAAAATGCGTTTTTATTTTTCATTCAGCCAAAAATTTCACAATTGTATATATATATATATTTTTTTTTTTTCATATTCTCTCTCTCTCTCTCTCT